GGCAACAACAGATGTTTTGGGTCAAGGACCCAGCAGAATGCCTCCCAAATATGTGAGGTCCAGGAGAAGAGGAATTGTATCTCTGGGACATTATTTCTTCATTCTCTTTCAGCAACAGAACATATTTTCTTTCCATTGTCTTTTTTCTTGGAAGCCGTCCATTGCCCGCATCATAGCCATCAGCTACAAGAGCAAGAAGGCAGCTTCCAGCAGGCAGGGCTGGTTCTTAGCTGGTCAGTTGTCATATTCAGGCAACCTTTTGACAATCCAAAGGGCTTTTCCTTAAGGTTCAAGTAAATCAAAAAGTAGCTCCCCACCACACCAGCTCTTTTCACTGTCAAGTAATCAGTAGCCACTGTGTACTTAGAACCTCTTCTGTATCTGGCAGTGGTGGGCCATAAACTGGGCAGTGCCAGAAGAACACAGTTCAGTTGCAGCACGTGTTTGATCTCTATCTTATGTGTGGGTGCCATGAGTTAAAAGACTGAAGCATTTATAATAGCTTGGAAGAGGGGTCAGTGGAAAAGCAACACTGCCCTAGAAAGCAGACATTTGAAGGGGCAAGGGTTCCTAGGGATGCAAAGACTACAAGTCTTACCTCTTCACAAGTGAAAATGTCTCTGAGTTGACGAACAGAAGTTGACTGTGCTCCATCAGGGATGGGAGGAGAAATGTCTCTAAATGACAGCAAGAAAACTTTAAACTGAACTTAAGAAGTTCCTGATGGTTAAGATTGTGACCTAGAAAACACACTGCAGACATGGCCTTTGGAAACGCCTTCTCTGGAGAATTTAAAGCAAAGGGTGGACAGATGTTCTCGGATGCTTTTGTCATGGTTCCTCTGGGAGGTAGGACTGGCCTGCCCTAAGATCACTTGAGGCCCCACTCCTGCTTCAGGATCGTGTAACATTTTCTTTCATCTACTGTGGATCAACACAGAAGACCTGTGGTGAACAGTACAGGATGGAAAACTTGGGGCCAACTGGTTTCTGGGGTTAGAGGGGAGAAGGGGAACCAGTCTTATTCAGAGAACATCTTTACTGCCCTCATGCCAAACACTTCTTTCTGAGTCTTGGAATGGCCTTCCTGGGTTATTGGTGGTCTTTCTATCCTTTTTCTTTCCAAGTAAAATAAAGGCAAGCATAGGAGGCAGCATGTAGAGTGACATTAATAGTAATAATAACTTTCCTGAGCTCTTACTGTGTCCTTGTTACTGTGCAAAGGAATTTACGTAGCTCATTCCATTTACTCTTCCCACAACTTGATGCAGTAATACTGTCTTTGTATCCATTTTACAGATAGAAAGGTTGAAGCTTTAAAAGGTTAGTGAGTTAGGCTGGGAGTCCATCCCAGATGAGAAGCCATGCTCTGGCAGGTTTGCTCAGTCCAGTCAGGGTTCAGATACTACATCACTTCAATTCTCTGAGCCCCAGTTTCTTTTTGGAGAAAATGGCATTTATTTTGCAAGACTAGATTTCACAGGGAAGGTGACATTAGGTGAGGTAGGTAAAGCCTCTGTGCCAACTCTCAGGAGCAGCAGGTGTTCAGAGGGTTATTTCCTTTCCCCCTGCTCTTCTTCTCCCTTCCGTGGGCTTCTCCTGGTCTGAGTCAATTCTTTCATGATGTCCCTGGTTCTAATCAGGCCTCTCTCAGTGACAGGCGCTTTGCAGGCTCAGCGTCTCTCTGACTGATGTCTACTGCTAATTCCTTAAATTTACATATCATCTTTCTTCCCTGGAGCTCATAGCACTTAGCAGACAAGTGGGGCACAAATGATTTAACGAAGTGAAATCCAGAGGCCTGCTCGTCTGGAGATTCTGCAAACTAGTGGATTAGCTCAGATGTCAGCACTGAATTATGATCCTTCAGCTGCTCGTGCTAAGCATGCCACTAGCATTAACTCCCTGGTCTTGCAATGGTCCCTTAAATCATGCATAGAGATTGTCATTTTATTGTGAGAGGGAGAAAGGAGAGGAGAAGGGAGAGGAGGGCGGGGGGCTACCTGGGGGTTACTGGAAGGGGCAGATCCTGAAACCTTTGACCTGATTGTGCCTGGAATTTTAGTAACAGGGTGGGTGCATAGAACAGACCCAGATACAGTCCATTCAGCACCGTTCTTCCCGCCTCCACACACATTTTACTCACCAAATTCTAACCATGATGCCATGATTTCCCTGTCGTTTAAGAATGTAAATTCACACAAGTGGCAGTATTTCTGCCAAGCAATTTTCAGGCAGCAAGTGGGTCTTATTTGCGAAACTGTGAAGGAAGCAGGCTGAATAATAAATCTCTAAAATCTGGTTTCCTTTATATATAAGGCGGCAACAGTAAGGGCTTGGAGATTAGTGGGAGCTTGGGAGCATTTGAGGGGTTCTCACTGGTATCTCAATACACTGGGTGCTTCCACAAGCCACCTTGTCATTACTGGTGCACCTCACCTTTGAAAGGGGCTTTGTGAAGGGATTATATCTGAGGGATTATGAGAAGCTAGCTGATTCTCCTGTCCTTATTTGCAATGTATAGCCTCGTATCATTCTGTAACCATGTATTTGTCATTCTTCATTCATTCATTCGCAGAAACAAAATTTTCTTGAGGAGTGGCATATATATAGCACTATCTAGGGGTAGAAAGAAGAAGCAATATTAAACCTGATTTACAATAGGTTACAATAGGTAAGACCAGGATTTACAATATAACTGGGGTGATAGAAAAAGACACACCAAAAAAACAGTTAGATTATGATGCCAGGCAGTGAGTGATTACCTACTGAAATCCATGGGAATGGCCTGAAGTTCTTTTAAAACAAGGTAAAGTCAGCAGTACAGTCAGTAAATGCTAGAGTTGTTGAGAAAAGAGGGGGATTAATGTTGTGTGTGCCAGAATAGTTAGGAGAAGAACTAGCAAAAGAGACAGGATAGGTGGAGTGGTTGGGGGAGTGGAAAATTACAGCTAAGAGGAGAGAATGCAGCAATGGGCCCAGTAGGGAAGCCAGTTTGCCTCAAACAGAGTGTGATTGATTGCAAGGACTTGGGGCAAGCTACCTGCAGAGCAGCTGAAATAAAGAACTTATTGCATGAAGGTGGAAAACCTGCAGTCAGGTCTGGGCTCTGCCACTGAAGTCGCCTCCCTACCTTGGACAAATCACATTAACCTTTCTGAGCCTGTTTCTTCAACATGTGCAAGGTAAGGTTAGTAAGTCCCAGCTCACAAGAATATAGAAAGGATGAAATGAAATACTGCATATAAATGTGCTTGTAACAGGTAAAGCATTATGCAAGTATGAGCTTTAATGATTATCATTAACAGCAGCAGTAATAAGATCTGATAGGGAAAGCATAGGTTTAGAAGATCTTTGAGGGTCTGATTTGGCATCAGTGTATCCTCCCTCAGCAGACACCATCATTAATTCTCTTCTGTAGACAGCCTTTTAGTTATCTGTGCTGATTTTGGCCTTGCGGAGGTCACACCTTATGGGGTATGTAGACAGTCATGGCTTTGGATGGTTGAGGAAGCACAAACTGGAATCCCACATATGCAGAGTAAACTAGTCTCATTTGACTTCAGGGGAGCATAGCTTCTAAAGCACTAATCCCAGAAAGTCTAACAGGAAGGGGCTTAGGGGATCAGGGAGGTAGGCAAGGCAGCTGGGGAGCCAAGGAGGAAGGAGCTGTTTCTGGGCTGCTGATGGGAGGTCCAGCACAGGCTGCTCTCACCTAGAAAGGTGTGATGTCAGCAGGATTAACAACAGCAAAGCAGCAGTCCAGGGACTATTGCATTGATTCAAGACTCTGGAATCCTACCCCATCTACCCTGACAAGTCCAGGATGTTCACAGTCCCTATGGAGTAAGAAACCTGTCTCAGGTTAAGGTGATTTCACACTAACGTGATCCCAAGGTGTCTGACATGCCCACATTCCATGCTGTGTATGTGGTAGAAAAGTGACCCTGCCATCTTGCAGAAGTATTCAGCATAAGATGCCCCTATGTTTCAGGGCCAAAAAGAGGTAGTGAAATTTCCTCACCAAGTGCCACCTTGTTCTCTGTACAAGTGGCCAGAAGAGTCCTATACAAGTTGGATTTGAAGGTGCAGGTCCCCACACCTGTGTCTACAAGGCATGTGGTCTGCCAACAGCAAGAAGAACTCGGTCTTCCACATGAGTGTCTGATGAATTTGAAACCAATCAGCCAAAAAGACCATTTTCCAAATATTTGGATTGGTAAACCCTTAATTTCCTAAAACACATATATTCTCTGCTAAATGCATAGCCTTTGTTAATAATAATGACAGCACCTTTATCATTGAAGCCATATGTGCCTGGCTGTCTGAGAAAGGCCAGGTTTAAGTCTGCCTGAATCACCCCTTTCAGCTCCCACCCTCTGTTCTGCTTGAAGGTGACACTGGGCTTCTGAGTCACAGTCACTAGAGCCCAGGCATCATCTAGCAGCACTGATGGAGACAGAAGGTTTTAAATGTCTGCCATTTGGACAGCGCCCAGCCAAGATGGCCAGGGCTAGAAGCATCAACCACCTGGTCAGAGTCACCCTCCAATCTAGCAGCCACCTCACCCCCTATAATCTGTCCCCTTGTAATTCACTGTCCCTTTGGGTGAGCTAGTGGTGAATAAGATGTGGGTCTAACCTCTTGGAATCTAGAGGGACAAGAAGGGCACACATATATAACCAACCAACCAAGACATAAGGCGCCCTTGCCAGGTGCTCCACATGAAAGAGATGGAAAGGAAATAATATCGAGAAATAGTCAGGAGAGACCGATTTGACTTAGAGACTCAAGAAAGGGCTTCAAGAAGACACGGCATTTGAATCAAGGCTCTGAAGAAGCCTTAAGAAAGGGTCACAGAGCCTCAGGAACAAGGACATGAATAAACCAAAAGACACCGAAACTCCAGTCCCAACTAGCCCCTGGAGAGACCACAGCAGCACACTGGTGTCTTTCCCAAGTGTTTATCGAGAACCTCTGTTTGGGTTTGTGTCCCCCCAGATGACAGGAATTTCTTGCGGCTGCAGAGTGACAGCCAGAGAGAGGGCCAGTACGCGCGGCTCATCAGCCCCCCAGTCCACCTGCCCCAAAGCCCGGTGTGCATGGAGTTCCAGTATCAGGCCACGGGCGGCCGCGGGGTGGCGCTGCAGGTGGTGCGGGAAGCCAGCCAGGCGAGCAAGCTGCTGTGGGTCATCCGCGAGGACCAGGGCGGCGAGTGGAAGCACGGGCGGATCATCCTGCCCAGCTACGACATGGAGTACCAGGTGAGGTGAGCCAAAAGGCAATCTTGTGATCCGTAATTCAGTATTTCAAAGGGCCGAGCCCATTCATCATTAGGGAACGTGGTTAAGCGCTACTGTTTTCATTGTGTTTCTCGCGTTGCTATGGCAACTGAATGACACTCTTATTTGTTATTCAGAATATGCCTATCTCTACACCCAGACTTGGTTCTTTGTTCCTCCTGTTGCCTTTTATATTGCTGAAATCTTCAACAAATGTTTCTCCTCTCCATTTTATTTTAGATTGCTATCAGGTAGGCTGACAAAGGGACACAGAAGCCAGGGAAACAAACACAAACAAACCCTCCACACACAAGGAAAGAGGCCTGTGGAGCCCCTTCAGATCTGGGGAGGAAACAGGATAATCTCCCAGACCTGTCCCAGGGAGTGTGAACACAGGAAGGGGAGCGGGTGCTGTTCGTGCTCAATGGCCGGCAGACGTGAGAGGCTCCTGAATGAGTGCTCTCTCTCTCTCTCACCAGCTCCAGGGATGGAGTTCTGTTATCTCTGCCCCACAGAGCAGGAGACTGAGGCACAGATGGGTACGTTCAGCTGCGGCTGCAACTTGGGTAGGAGTAGACACACTGCAGAAGAGGTGACTGAGAACCAGCCAAAGCATTAACCTTCTCCTCCCCAGACGAGGAGCAGCAACAGATGGCTGGTGAGGCAGCCAACTGCTCACCCAGCTTGCCAGAGGACATGTGCTAGTTAGCAGAGAGGAACCTGGGGAGGGTGAGCATGAGGAACGACTGAAGACCACAGAGCTGAGGGGCTTCTGTGTACAGCCTGTAGTCCCTGTCTCTGGAGGAGGCAAGGCGTCCTGAGACCCTCCAATCTGGGTTCCCACTTACTCACCTGAGTGCATTGTATTGTAACTTCCTGTTTGCATTTGTGTCTCAACCACTAGATGGGTGAGCTTCTCTGGACAGAGAACTTGTCTTAATAGGTTTTGTTATTATCCTTGTGTCCAGCGCGTAGCAGGTGCTCAGTAAACAGCTGGTAAAAAAACAAATTCTTTTCCTCCTAGTTATAATAATGAAGCCGTAAGGCAACTTAGAATAAGGAGCATAAATCCAAGCCTATGTGCTGGATTTCTCACATTACCCCCACTTACTTGTGTCTTCTGAGTTTCCAATACCTGCATTGGGCGTTTGAAAGATTTATGAGACAGGAACCTCGAAAATAGTGAGGGAAATTTCAACCCCCCTTTCAACATTCTCTGACTATGGTCCTTTTAATCAATACATCCGAGTTACTGGACAACAGTATGCACCCGCTTGTTATATTTTCTTATTCCCTCAAATATGCATTTGATTTGAACAAACTCATTTTAAATTAAGATTTCAAGAGCTGTAGCCATGTGGTCAACAGATGTGTACCAGGTGCAATACACACACACACACACACACACACTTTAAGCTGCAGCTAACAGAAAAATGGAAATCTTTGCCCTGTTTGGACTAGGAGACTCAGTTAACCATGGCTCTTATTCTTCTGGCTTCTAGATTGTGTTCGAGGGAGTGATAGGGAAAGGACGATCGGGAGAGATTGCCATTGATGACATTCGGCTAAGCACTGATGTCCCACTGGAGAACTGCATGGGTACGTGAATGTCTGTCTCTTCGTGACTCTTTCATATAAGACGCCAAGGGCTGGGATAAGCAAGAGGAGGCAGCACACTATTTTCAAATGCAGTTATTACCGAGTGGGTGGGGCAGCAACAGCCTATGCAGGAGGTAAGGTGTGGGTATAGTTGTGTCTTGGGCTGGGTTCAGGGTGGGAGGGGTGTGAGATGAGGGGAAGGCTTATGTCCCTATTCCCAATCAGAAATGGACATGCACTAAGTACATGGAGGTTCAGGGTGCCAAGACCCCATCAGCAAACCCCAGCTTTTAGCAAAGAAAATGCTAGAGGACGAGAGCAACTGCCAGTCAAAATTATATGCTGGAAAGGTTTGATAGATTTAATGGAAGCCTTCGCTGGTGAGAAAAATAGTGCATATGTTAGATAAGAGTGATAACACAATTACCCGAGTAGTTCATTTACGTGAATGAATTGCAGAGCAAACTGTGGCATTTGAAGTAAGGTTTCAGATTTTTCTTTAAAACGAATACCTCTAATCCCAAAGTTGTTGTAGGATTAGACATTGTAGTCCAGGTGACTGGCACGAGAAGAATATCATAACTGTCATCTTGGTCAAAAGGACCTGAGCAGCCAGCCCACCTGAGATGCACCCATTTTCTTCAGGGTCTCCTGCTTCAGAGGAGGTCACCTGAAGTGCACGCTGACTGTGTCCCTTCAGGGCCATGGACATTCCCCAAACCAAGAAGGGAACCCTGAGAAGGCCTGGGGCCTGCTTTCAGTCAGCAGAGTGGCTGCAGCAACCACCAACTGCTTTTCTTGGCACACGAGCCCGGGTGTGTGTGTGCTTGATGATGTCAGAAGCACCTGGGACCACCCCAGTCCCTTTGGGCAACTCTCCGACCCTGGGCATCTAAAAGTAAGCCAGCCTCTGAGAAAGTAATCAGCAGTAAGTGACTGATTACAATGCTTTAGGGACCCATTTCTCTATGAAGGACTTTTTGTTCCAAAGCAACTTTGAGAATCCCCTCCCCACCGGCACCCCATGATGATGATGTGTTAGACCCAGCCTAGAACATGTGGAAGATGTGGGGCACTTTCCATGGAGTGGTACAAAAAAACTCAGTGCAGTCATCTTCGTCATCATATTCAACCAATTATTGACCCTATGTTCACCTAATTAGTTATTCCCTTTAACTAAATCCAATTTTTTGTCTATTTTTTTTTTCAGAACCCATCTCAGCTTTTGCAGGTGAGAATTTTAAAGGTAAAAGAAAATGTTTTTTTGCATGCCTCTTCCTTCCCCCATGTGATGTGCATTTGGTGGGGGAAATCAACCTCCAAATTTGTCAAATCTCGCAAAAGAGACGTCACACCTTCCTGCCACTAGATGGCACTAGCAACAGGTAGCTGTGGGGAAGGGGATTGAGATCCTCACTGCCTCTTGTTTAATTAAAGTTTAGAAACCTATTAATAGAGACAAATAGGTTACAGATAAACCTTTCAGCCTTGCATTGTCCAACGGGGAGCAATGAGGCTGAAAATGCAGGAGTGGTGAGGAAGGAGAAACTGTGGGAATACTGAACCAGAAAAAATCAGTATAAATTAAAAGTGAACTGAGGTGACAATGATTTGTTTTAGCCTGAAGATGGTTTCTTTCCAGTTCCAAGGTACTAAGGCAGTGGTCTCGGTTAACCTTCAGAGGTGCAGTGGCAGGCAGCTTGTGAGGGAAGGAACTTAGGGAAGAGACACAGGAGTGGTAGCCTGAGGAGGAAGAGTTGCCAGATTTAGGACCTGGTATCCAGTCAAGGGAATAAGGAGGTACATTCCATGACTAGGGCTAGAGCACTTTAAATGCAGGACTGGAAATCAGAAAGGACGCGTTCTCCCCAAGAAAGCAAAGAGAGAGCAGAGCAAAGTAAGAAGAATTGGGGATGCTTGCCTCATCCAGCTTAAAAAAAAAAAAAAAAGGCCTCCAACCTTGGGTGATGGCAACGTCATTTGAGCTGTTACAATGCAGCCAACTGTATATTTTGCCCTCTTTGCAATCCTATTAGCTGACACTGCTGAAGTTTCCATACTGGTTTCTAATGCCAAACATTTAGGAGTCCCTCTAAATGCTTCACTGCAGTTGGCCTGAGTGTAAAAGCAAACACGGAAACACTCACCCTCACTGAATGATGGGGGTTCTTCATGACCTGTTTGATGCCAGCAATTGTGAAGATTGCTGTGCCCTGTTTTAACTGGCTGGGCTTAACCCTACAAGTTGCAGCATTGCAGAGATAAGGGCAGACGTTTTTATATCTGACGTCTAGACTCGTTATCTTCACTCTCATTAATCTGTCCAGCTCTGGGCTAGAAAGAGATGAATTCCTAGTTTGCCACCTAGATGTGCTCCCTGACTCCAAATCATCTCACCCAATTTGCCACTCATCAGCTCTAAGACAGCCAGTGAGGAACAAAGCTGCAGACACCAGGGGAATGGCAAACCAACCTAGAAGTGATTTCCTTTCTTGCCCTTCCTTGAGTCCCTGAACCCCTTGCCCACTCCCTGCTCCACAGTTCTAAATGTATTAAGAGTATTCATGTACACACACTGTTGCTCTCTGGGGGTGAGATTTATGTTAACGTAAATCCAAAGTATTGGAAAGAAAGCTGAGAGCCAAACCGAACAACTTGGATTACAGTTGAATTCGACCTCTAACCTTCAGGACCCAAGGTAATGCTTATGTTGGTGAAGTGAAATCTGTGGATGTTGTTTCACCTGACTCTCTTTGGGTTGTGGCGACTCAGAGCTCCCAGAAAGGCTGGGTAAAGACTTGCCAGCAGCTGCTGCAGACACTGTTCTGTGTGCATACCGTGTCGGGTCGTGATTGACAAGTACAGTGGCTAAGTGCTTCACTTTTGTAAGAGAATAAGCAGACCAGGGCACATGTGCTCTCCTTGAAGCTGTGCTTACCGTGAGGCTTCACAGGCCAGTCATGCTCTCTCGTAAAAAAAATACATACATAAAATCTCATCTGAGCGGCAGTGCTCATTTAGCCAAAATAAACACAGAGCTTAGTGACTTGAAGGTAAGAATTTCCAGGGTGCCCCTGGTGGGCTGCTTTGAGGCTAAGCGAAGGCAGTGTACAAGTTGCATGGATTGGGCCATGGCTTTCGTCTTGGAGGATGGCAAGCATCTTTGGGAAGAAGAACCCAAGTCTCGAGGAGCAGAGGCTTGGCCGATGGACACAGTAAAGAGCAGAATCAGAATTGGGAGTGGAGAATTTCATTCACCTCGGCACGTTTTACATGGAGATCTGAGTTGGTGCCATGAGTCTCCCCTTTCTGGCTGAGACCCATTTGACCACAGCATGCAACTCTGTGCCTTGAGCAAACTTTTCTGTTTGAGAGAGGAGAGAGGACTGTGTGTCCCCTCTAACCCAGTGACTTATACACTGTTCTTCTTATGGTCAGGACAGCAGGAGTCATCCTTGGTCAGGGCATAAATTGAGTCTTTTCACTCAAAAACAATGGAAACAGAGAAACCAGGTTTGGGCAGGCAAGGTGTGGAAAGCTGATGTTGAAACACTACCAACCATAGTCATTTACATTGTTAGTACGTTTTTCAAATTGGAGTGCTTTTCTTTTCCCTTCTAAATGAATCATGCAACAGGAAGTAATCTCATTCTTTAGGATCAATCAGTATATAGATAAATCTTTAGGGAAATACAATGAAAGTGGCCTTTGGACCTGTAGTTATTAGCTGGTCTTGATCTTTTGTATTTTGAAGTATCTTTCATTTTGCACCTCTTACTGATTTCTTGCCATGCAGTATTTTTTTTTAAATTCAGATCATCCTGTGATTTCTGCTTAGTGTATATATACATGCATTGTGTAGCAGGGTGTGAGTCAGTAATGAAGAAAAGCCTGGGAGGAAAAGAGCTGTGTTGAGAAGGGAGAAAGAGAAGAAAGAATGAAGAAACTGTGTTGTCATGTGAATTTTTTAAAAAGACCCTTTTTTGTGGTTGTTATGAGTCACATTTTAAACAATGTAGCCTGGGTGTGCATTCTTCTCCTTTCTTTTCTTTTTTAAAGCAGTGGCTATAAACATGGTGCCCTCATGTATCTTTTCTAGGATTTGAGCTTTAACAAACGAAAAACCGTGTGGATACAGGGAGAAAAAAGAACCGAAAAGTGGTGTAATTAAGGTGACAGATTATTTCCTCTTACCCAATACTTTCTTTTTTCAATAAAAGAAAAAAGAATAAAGAAGCCAATTAAAAATATATAAAGCCCATAATCAGAGTTCTGGGGTTGTTGACCAGGTGGTTATTTTTAACAGCTCGTCTTGGAGGCAAGAGTTTTTGTTTGTGTTAGCTAGGCTGTGGGCTTTGAGCAAAGCAGGGGCAGAGAGCCTGTCTGGTGCCCTACTTGTTAGAGACAGAAATCCCAGCAGGGTGCACCTGTGGAAGGTGGTTGTCTGAGGGAAGGATTCAGAATGGCTGTCTTACGCTAGTGGATGCTAAAAGGAACATCAGTGTCTCCTGTTTCTGCTAGGAATGTGGGGTTTATGACTCAGACCATTCCTGAGGTCCAGGGGCCCCATTTCTTGGGTTTCCGCAGGTGCCTTTCTGCAGTCCTCCACAGTTCTTATCCAGACAAAACCAGGAGACAGTGCATATCCACGGCTGTCTCTTGGGCATAGAGGGGAGCAGTATTAAGAGAGGCCCATTTCGAGGTAATGCTGATTGACATTTGACTCTGTTCCTCAAGCTTTGCATTCTGTTTCTTTGGGACCAAGTGAGCAATCTCTGCATTTTGCACCCCCATCTCTATTGCCTGGCTTCCAGGGCTTTGTCCACCAGGGTAATGTCCCCCGTCCCAAGGCCTGGCCTCAGATTCCCTTTCTTCTTGGACTCCCTTCCGCCCATGCCTCCTTCTCCTAGAAGCACTTCTGAGATGCAGAGAGGGTTAAGTGGTGCTTTTGCACATGATCCTCTGATGAAAGGCAGAGAAGTATTCCTAACCCCTGTCAGGGTTCCAGATAGGCAGCTGTAGTGTGTGAATCCTCCTCCTTGCCCCACCCCCTTATGTCTCCAGCTGCCAGATTAAGGCTAGGTGTTGCTGAGCATGAAAGCATGGAGATCAGATGTGTGAAGGGGGTAACTGCTTGGCTGCCATCCTTCCCTGGGGGACACGGGGGCATTCTTTGTGGGGTTCGCTGGAGCATGCCGCCTCTCCTGCCACGAAGACCTGACACATCCCCTCTCCCTCAGTTTACCACTCACATAAACAACTGCCGAGGTCCACTTATCTAGGGGTGGAAGAAAATGTTTTTCACCAACTTTTCTCTCCAAGAACACAAGGGACAAGACTTAGTTTACAGAAAGTAGCATAAGTACACCAAAGAGTGTGAAGCGTCCGAGACTTCAGCCAGTCAGAGACCTGAATTCGGAGGCATTTAAAAATGCCTCTAGATGTAGGAGAATCCACATGGTTTCTGCCAACTTACTGAAAACATCTGGGCACCTCCCGCCACACCACGCTCAGAAGGCAGATGGAAAGAGTCGTTTCTCAGGGAGGCCTTTGTGCTTGCGCCTCTTTTTTCCAAACACATCAGAGGGCGTGACCACATTCTTCTACTATCTTCTGTAAACTTCTCCAGAGGAGCCAACCTTTTTTTGTTTGTTTCATCTCACAAATTAAATAAACCTTTTATCTGAAATGTTCCTTAACCAGCACTTCATTTTTAACCTGTACAGAAAGGACTGTGCAGACCCGCCAGTCCTGAAACAATTCTGGCATGCAATGAGCCTTTTTTTTGAAAGAGAGAGAGAAGGCTCACCCTTGGGGTCTTTCAAAACACTTCTTTTGGAAACCCAGGTGACTCCGGCGGGTCCAGATGACAGTTCATAAATGCAGCTCTAGCAGATGCTTTCTCATTTCAGTGACTCAGTGAGAAACTGACTTGACTGAGACACACCAATCCTTAGACAGGTTCAGACAGAAACAGAGGGCAGAAAGGAAGAGGACTGCTTCCTCTTCCCTCCCTACTTGATTAAAGCAAGGAATCTATAAACTTGTTCTGTAAAAGGCCAGATAGTAAATATCTTGGGTTTTACTGGACGTGCAGTCTCTGCTGCAGGGACTCAGCTCTGCCATTGCAGCACGAAAGCATCCATAAGCAATACCTAAACAAATGAGGGCAGCTGTGTTCCAACAAAACTTGATTTACACAAGCAGGCAGTGGGCTAGATGTGGCCCATGGGCCAGAGTGAGCTGATCCCTGGGTTTGAGCACAGGCTGGGGTTTTGTCCACCAGGTTCCAGCCGTGACTCTGCCACTTGCTGGCAGTGTACAGCTCCTCAGAGGACCCTGGGCTATCTCTTGGGTTTCGCTGAGTGCTGCTCTGCTCTTCTCCACAGTTATCCTTAAAGTGAAACCAGGAGAAAAATCACTTGTCCTCTGAAACCCTCAGGTCTCCCATCAGAGGGCCACAGGAATAAACAAAATGATTCATGTGAAGCCCATAGACCAATGGTTGACACACAGGAAATGTCCACTCACGGTTGCTGTTCTTACACACACATTTCCCAATTGCACATTAATTCGGTAACCCTATTTGCAGATAGGAATGGCAGGAACACAACCTCATGTGTAATTGTTTGTCTTATTTTCTCCCATGAGTGGTTTCTCAAAATTCAAATTCTTGGTGTTTGCATTGCTTTTCTCTAGGAGGCTCAAAACTTTTACAGATGGGAGCCTGTGCAACCTTGCAAGTATACTTGGAGTTGAGTTATTGACTATTTAAATATCTGTTTCTCATTATCTTACACAATGGGAAAACTTTGTAGAGAATTTGGGGTGGGAATTAATGAAAAATAGTTCAGGAGTTGAAAGCATTTTTCAGTTGAAAAAAGACACATGAGTAAGCGGCAGAAATTAGATCAGTCAAAGGGAAAATTCAGGTCAGCAGATCAACCAACTCCAGGCAAGGTTGAGTTCTCACCTACACTTTCACCCACCTATCCCAGGCTCCTTTAATGTCAAGCAATGGCTCGATCACCCCAGATGGCTCAAGGGGCAAGTGAAGCTAAATTTGCACAGCTCAACAATTTGGGCATCTGGTGCAGGTGACGTCTGCCTGAAGTGAGTGCCTCTTTCTAATTTCCCTTAGAGGTGCCATATGAGCTAACAGAATCTCTAGCACTTTCTGAAAATAACTCTCCAAGGAAGTACCAGTAGGTCATCAACATTTTCCAGGGAGTCTGAACATTGATCCAAATATATGCCTCTATCCAATTCGTCCATTTATCCATCCATCTATCCATTCATCCGTCCATCTGGCATTCATTGGATTGCTGCTGTTGTGTGGGAAGGTGCTTTGGGTGGGGATTTAACCCCTATTGATGTATCATTTTCCTTCTCTTCAGTTGGCAGACCACAGCCTCATTAGCATACAGCTCTCGGAGGCTAGAACAGAGCCAGATTCTAAACCAGCACACTCCACCTGCGTTTGGGGATGAATCTCTTTAGCTGGGGGCTAGGAGTTGGGGGCTAGGAGTTTCTCCTGCAATCAACCAAGAATTGCTTGTAGGCGATCAGGAAAGGGTTGCTAGTCGTATCCTTTCTTTTCTAACCTCTTAACATTAAAAGCGTGAATTCACATAGTACTGTTTTTTATTTCTCCAAAGAAATGCCCAAAGAAGATGTTTAAGGATCCAGTAATAATGTCCTCCAAATACCTTCTGTCACTCAAGTTTGCCACATGTTGATCATTTCGGGGAGAGAAGCATAGGTAGAAAAGGGGAAGGGGGTCTTACCTAAAGTAAAGTTCGTCTTTCAGAGTAGAGCAGGATTCTGAGGGCCTATGTCTGTGTCTCTGATTCTAAATATGTAATTCACGTGTTAGGATTTCACCTTCCTCCAGCAGGTCCCCTAGAGTCTCTCCACTGTGCCCCAACGTTGTCTCTGTCATGAGAAACACTGTAAGACGAGCAGTAAGGCTCTATCCTTCTCCAGCCTGAGCACTTTAAGTGTGGGTGTTATATTTTGTGTTGGAAATCAGCATTTTGGCTGAAGGAGAGCAAACCTTTGAATGGAGACAATGTAGTGATGGAGGGAGTGTGGGTAGTTGTGGCCATATTCCGCTTGACAAAAATATGTGTCCCACCTTTGTGGTCTGGTCAGGTACTTCAGAGGGAAAGCTAATCCCTGGGGATTTATCACCTTCCTTTTCTCCATGGGTGAGCTGCAGCCTCATTAGAGGACGTCCCTCCCTATGGAGCCACCTGAAAATCAGAGGCAAACCCCAGCACACCCTTTGGGTAGAGGAGGGATGTCTCTGAGGAACTCCGGGCACATCCCCAAACACTTTGCTGTTTCCTGTCCATTTCTGTGAGTTCACATTGAAAATCCGACAGCAGGATGGTTGCCAGGCAGCACATCCTTTTGGTGACCTGCATAATGAGTTGACACCAGTTCACTGTGACTTGCAAGCTGGCCATTTCAAGGAGCGATTTCCAGTGCCTTGCTTTCTCTTCCTCTCTGTATGTATAATTTCCACCATCGCCACAAATATGAGAGAGAGAGAGAGGCCTTTCTCAGCTATAGTAATGAAATTAGTAAAAGACAGAAGTCATTTAGGGATAAAGACAAAGAGGGTAGGTAATAAGGTGGAAGAAGATGAAGATGTAGAAAGGAGCACTAAGGGGTTCCTGGGATTCTGGGGTCCTTTCTACCCCAGGGGAGGTAGATGTGGCTGTCAAGGTATGTGCAGAGCAACACATCCTTGTCAAAGCTCTACCAATGTTGTGGGACCTCTAGTTACCCAAAAGGTACCAATGAACCCCACCCTGGTGGAGGGGAATTCCTACAGCAAGCTTTCAAATATTTCTGAGAAAACTGTTCTCATTTTTCTATCACCTCTAGAAGACATTAGAAGGTCTGACTCACCTCTCACCTATTCCCCAAATCAAAGACAGGAGTTCTGACGTTCAGGCTGCAGAAATTAGAAAACACCAATGCAGAAATAGGAGTCTTAGCCTCGGTTCAGTGTTTGATTCATCAAGCATTTATTGAGTGCCTTCTTTGTGTAAACCCTTAGGTACAGATGAGAGCAAGTTCCTCATGATGAGAGTGAGCTCCTCTGCTTAAGAGCTCTGAATCTCAGGGTGGGTAGTGGAAGGAGGCATGAAAATATAAATGAGCCCCATCTGCATCTTGAACACAGGGGGAACACCCTCTGCTCACAGAGGAGGACCACCAATGCATGAAGGAGGCAGCAGCACTTCCCACCCATGGCTCTCCTCCTGGGGCACCCCATGAGTAGAGGATGCATCTTTCTGGCTTAATGCAAGCAGCTAGGGAGGCATTTTTCATAGGAGAAGCATGCATCATTTTTCAGAAGTAAAGATCATGTCTGGTTTTGGCAAGCTCAAAAGCTCCTAGTCCCTTTCTGGGCCAGATTCTCATCTGATGTAAATCTTTGGGAGAATCAAGTTGTAACACTGCTTTGCATCAAGTGGGACTCCAGCCAGTCTTTCCCCAGAGTTACCCTGGGCTTAAATCTACTACATCATCTCCATGGCAACCAGCGGCGGCCAGTGAACATGGTTGCCTTCTAAATACTCTGCCAGCCTCTCTTCTCTGCTCTGTCTTTTCCGTGATTAAGAATGATCTCCCTCACTCCCTCACTCACTCTCGCTCTCACATACTCTCTGTCATTTTGTGCCCATGTTTTTTGTTGCAACTTCCCTTCTAATCTGCTTTTAAAAATCCTCCATCCAATTAAAAAAAAAAAAAATGAGGATGCGCTAGTCATGACTTCACAGTGGTGACCGACCTGTTAAGGCAAGACCAGGCTAATTTCAATGGGTGCAGAAGCCTTGGCAAGTAACATGGAATTTACCTTCAAGTCTAGCCAGCCTAATTAATACATTGTTATTGAGAATGCTGGCCAGCCAGACCAAAAATCTGCCTCACTGAATCCCAGAAGTCATGTCAGCATCATTTACTTGTATGTATTTGTGTATGTGTATGTGTGTGTGTGAGAGAGAGAGGGAGATGGAGGAAGAGAGAATTATAACATTTCCATATATTTTAAAGTAATTGTGGTCAAACAATAAGAAAAGAGATTTGTAATCATACCGTTCTTGGTTGAATCCCATACTTACTATTTAGCCGTATAACCCCTTAATTTAACCTCTCTCTGCCTCTGTTTCCTCATCTGTAAAATGGGTCTGACAGTTGCTACCTCCCAAGGGGGTAAATAGGAAATAATGCAATCGTTGAGAAGTGCTTGGCAGGTACTAAGGACTGAGTACCACCTTAGTCCCTCATCCCCTTCCCTGTCCGTCCCAAAGCATGTGTGTGTGTTTCTTTCTTTTTTTTTTTTTTTTTAAGTAGTCTTTTGATTAGCCTGCATGCTCTCAGCCTAGCAACACTCTTCTGTGTCTCTCCACCAGGGGGCACCCTCCTGCCAGGGACCGAGCCCACAGTGGACACGGTGCCCGTGCAGCCCATCCCAGCCTACTGGTATTACGTAATGGCCGCCGGGGGCGCCGTGCTGGTGCTGGTCTCCGTCGCGCTTGCCCTGGTGCTCCACTACCACCGGTTCCGCTATGCGGCCAAGAAGACCGATCACTCCATCACCTACAAAACCTCCCACTACACCAACGGGGCCCCTCTGGCGGTGGAGCCCACTCTAACCATTAAGCTAGAGCAAGACCGTGGTGGCTCGCACTGCTGAGGGCCGAAGCAAGAACAGCACCCAAAACAAACAAGAAAGGCTGCAAACACGTTGCCTCGATTTTGCACTTTTTTCTCCTCGCCTAGTCTCTGTGTGAACTCTCAGACATCTCTCTCTCACATCCCCAACCCTGAGCACTCTTATCAATCCCAACCATCCTCCTTGGGTTCATTTTGGTTTCTGGTTTTCCTTTTTGTTGATTCCAAACCAACAAACCCAACTCTAATGCTGCATCTTGGAATATCGGAAGAGATCCACTCCCAAGCACTCCACAACTCAAGGCTCAGCTGGTTTTGTCCCAGAGACTGGTTCACTTGTTTTTCTCCTTGCCTTATCCCATACCTCCTCTCAGTGGGCAGTCTGCCAGGAGACTTGAGGGGAAGCCTGGATCTGTGTGTATGTACATAGTAGACGTGTGCGCGTGTGAATAGCTCTCTGTGGGTGTGGGTGTGTGTGTGACAGCCTGGTTCATTGTGTGTTGGGGGTGGTGAGTGTTCAGACCTGGATCTGTGTGTATGTACATAGTAGACATGTGCGCGTGTGAATAGCTCTCTGTGGGTGTGGGTGTGTGTGTGACAGCCTGGTTCATTGTGTGTTGGGGGTGGTGAGTGTTCAGAGAGGGCCCCTTTAACTCTTGTGTTACTTCTCCTGCGGTACATTTTACAAGAAAATAATATACTGCATAAGTTTTGTTGACTTGGAGAAGAGATTGAAGCTTTTTGTTGCCTTATCTAGCTCTGGCTGGGTTTCTGTTGGCTGCCATTGTCATCTCCAGGTATCTAAAGAAATAGAGGCTACATGGGATGCCATGTGGCCTGTCTCATCCCTACTCCCCATCCCCAACCCACCTGACCCAAGAGGAAGGTTCCACTAGCCCACTCAGACAAGACTTCCTTGTCTTCTGGTGTCTTTGAAGTGTCAAGATAACAGCCACGGGTGTGTGCGGAACCACCTCTCCAGCCCTGAAGCAAGTCTGTCTCATGTTGCCTTATAAAAGAGAAGCTCATAATGAATGTTTAGCTTTTATCAGTTAAGTCCAACCTTGGAATAAGTCATATGGAATAACAAGTCTGGGACTGATGTAGGAAAAACAGTAGTCTGTTTAAGTTGAGAGCAGGAGGGGGTGGATGAGAGAAGGGAGGAGAAGGAAGAACTGAAAAGCTGTCTCCCCACCCAGGGTGGTTATTGGGCCCAACTTGGGATGGGGTTGAGTAAGAAGGTTAAAAACCGTATACTTTGGTATTATATTGGTCATTGTTACAGCAGTTGTAAAATATGGGGGGGGGGGGGAGGATCATTTGTTTTCCTTTCATGGTGTTAATGTGTGCCTGAATCTATAGCCACTAAAATGTAAGGCTGTCTACCTGACTTATTTAAATATGATGAGAGAATAGAAAGGAATCATTTGTTAAGTGTACCAATGTGCTGCCCCTTAAAGCATTCATGGCATCTGGCAAATAGACACGCGTAGGCTGGCCCAGCATACCCAGATGTTGCTGCATCATCACAGAGAAGGTCTAAGGAAGACGTAACCGTTGCTGCTCATGTGTCCTCTCTAAGCAACGTGGGGAGCGGGATGTAAGAGAGAAGTTGCTAATGACACCGTGCAAAAGACAGATTAAATAATAAAGTCAATTTCATTGATAGAAATGCAAATTTTAAGCTTCTCAGTGTACGAGGACTCAGCCTCAGGAGCATTTATTTTTTACCTTCCTGCTAAAAATCCACTGGGGAGGTATAAAATTCACTCCAAAGAAGTTTGCCTGGGCCAGAAGCCTCCAGGTTCCTTCTGCGAACAAAATACTAATGGTTTTTTTTGTTTGTTTTTTGTTTTTGTTTTTTTGTGTTTTTTGGGGCTGCTTGGGAGAGAGACTTTCAGCATTCTTTCACGATATCCAGATAGGTTCCTCCAGCACACACACACAACTTTCGCATCTGGTTCATTTCATCCTCCTGAAAGAATGGTGCTCTCCTACTCTTATTCTATTTCAAAGAGCTACTCTGTCTCAACCACAGCAGCCTGCCAAGAAAAGACAAGATGAAAGGCTAGAGCATGTGCTACCTTGAGATTTCAAGAAGTGTCCTACCTCAGCTGAAGACAGAGAAAGAAACAGGGAGGGGAAAGGGGATCAGAAGCCCAGGGTACCATGTAATGACTAATATGCCAGTCACTAAGGGTTTTTATCTCGGCTGTCCACATCCAGTCATGCGTTTCGGGCCAGGCATTCCTGCAAAATGATTGACATTCCTGTAGGTGCCCCATTGAGGTGTGGCGTCAAGAAATTACACCTGGAAAATCCAGCCAGTGTAGTGACCGGCTGAGTTACCATATATCCTGGGGATTCCCCCTTCTGTAAAAGAAGATGACTACAACCTTGTGAACTTGCTGTATCTTTATTTGATGCCCCAAGTGGCATCATTTTTATGTACATGCCTTAGTTGAGAATATGAGATGGCCCTAATCTTTGTGAATCCCTTTACACTTCAGCTGAGGATGTCACATTCTCTGTCTCTCCCCAGCCCGCAACCTCTGCCCTTGATCTGTCTACTGAGCAATTTTGATAGTGTCATCCAGGTGCTATGCTAAAAGGTCACCTCTTCTATAAAATGCCATGCTTCGCAGCTTTAAAAAGCAAAATTCTGTATTACATGGAGGGAGGGAAGGGTCACTCTCTTCTAGGAAAAACATACTGGAAAGGCGAATACATGCATGCATGTGTTTGGAGTTGCTCTCAGAAGAAAGAGATGATAGCAACTATAAAAATGAATGAATGAATGAATGAATGAATGAATGAGTTGAAGGCCTAGCTTGAGTTGATAAAGCTTTTGCCTTAGTAGAGGTTTTTTGTCAACACCTTCAGGAGGAAAGCCCTTATCCCTGGGTTGAAATCCCCTTCCTCGGCATTATGCTAGCAAATTGCCATCATCTAGTTGCTGGCAAAGGCAGAAAAAGAAAACGAAAAAATCAGCATTGTCGTTGACAAAACTGGATGCTGAAGATAAAGTTGTCTTTTCCCTTGTCCCACATTTTTGGGATTAAAGCCAGAATTGAATAGGAAATACAGTAATATTTCTGAGGTTGAAAGCCTATCTTTAAGAAGACCCTGTCTTTAAAATGAAACTAGCAAGCAAACACCTAAATAATCAAAAATTACCAAAGAACAACAATGAAACAAGAAAACCTAAAGATTTTTACTTCCTATTCCTCTCCTTATTACTGTGACACTCCTTGCGTTGCTCAGTTGCCTGTGTGTCAAGATAACTTGTGGACATTGGAAATTATTTGAAAATGTATTGTGTGGAATGTAATAAAATGATGATATTTTTATACAAACATCTGGGGTTTTTTTTCCCTTTGCCTGTGAGAACAAAGTTGAAATGTAAGCTTTGAGCAAACCGATGCTTCCAAAGTTTACACATCACCTTCTAAGCTACAGGGCATTTCTGTGGGTGGTAGGTGGGTTTTCTCCTTGGGACCGAATGCCAACTTTTCCTTCTTTTTATTTTTATTACTGCTTGTTAGGATTTTATCCAATTTGTGCAGCTGAGACAACTTTTATGATTGGTGTGGGATTTTGCAAAAGTTGCTAAGTGCTAAATTGCTAAATGAGATTCCACAAAATTTCTCTTGATGACAAATCCATGGAGATTAGATTCTACTTTCAAAGGGCTCCGGGGGAGTGGTACCAGCTAAGCTGAATCCTGTGCTCAGCTCTGTGGAGACAGATCACTTCCTTTGAAGAAGCAGCAGTGACATCTTACCCCTCACCTACCCAATTACTACATCCACAGGGACGTGAATCTCCCATTTACCAGTGCTTTCCCAGACAAGAGGGAACTCGTAGCATGTTCAGAGCTGAAAGATATTCTAGCCTTCATTTTTGAACAGGTAATGAAGATAATTAGATGATGACTGTGGACATGGAACTATCAGAGTGGAACATTTTATAAAAGGAACACTGTAAAACTTTGAGGCGAGGTGCTGGAGGAAACTTACTCAAAAAGTCAGGTCTTTCTTGATAAGTATTTTTCTTTGGTTCTCCTCTTTGGATAGTGACCTAGTTATATAAAATATTTCTATCAGGGGAGGACTGGGTTGATCAGGGTGGGGGAAAATCTAGGAAAGACAACCTCCCAGCAGTTCATGGTCTCTAGATAGTGGTCAAGAAGAGGTCACAGTAATCCTATTTGCAGATAGATAGGATTTCCCACCACCCTGATTCGTGGATGTATCGGAGGTCTTCTGTCAACCTGGGAGCCGTCCTCAGGAGTCTGAGAACCATCCTGAAAGGTCCTGAGAAAATGTGCGTGTTCAGAAGATCCTATTTCTGCCAGAGCCCTGCTTTTCTTTCTATCTAAACCTAGATCCAGGAAGGAGTGCTTCTCACTGCTGTAAAACCTGCCCAAGTGCGGCTAAAAGGAGACGGGCTTCCGGTTTGTAGATCTCATTGGAAGTTCTGTTAGTACAGATGGCTCAGTACAGATGTCACTATCTGTCCTTTGCAGGAGTGCAGAATAAAGTAGAATGTCTGTGCTCAGAGCATTTTTTGTTTCCCCAATGACAAGCTCAATTACTTACCCCTTTTGTCTAAATAACATTTGGCTTCCTTAACGCCATTTGTTCCCATTAGTAAAGAATGAAGTGAAAACAGAAGCGTTTTCTTCAAAAGTGTTTACTTCAAACAACATGACCCAGGCTCAGTCAACATTTCCTTGAGCTGACCTGGGACCCAACTTGCCAGACTGAACTACGTTAGTCCTCACCTGTGCTTCATTAGCATTACTGTTTTGGAGCCACCTCTGGGAATTTTCCCACCTTGGTTCTAGTCCCAATACTTACTTTAAGGGTACTGACCTCCCCTAAAAGGGCAAAGACTGTTAGGACTCCAGTCTTAGATGTCAAACACGGCATTGTTACCACCAAATACTCCTCAGCGTGGCAGTTCGTAGGTAGCCCAAGTATAAATGTTCCGAAATTGTTTCCATGGATCATAAATACCAGATGTCAAGGCCGATGCTGGTCTGTTTCTGCTCCTACCTGGTCCTTTATGATTTAAGTGTGTGTTCTCGCTTTACCCACTGCCCTCCTAGCTTAGATCATCGAAGCCCAGCTCAGCTGATGTCACTCGGTGTTTGTTTTCCTTGCCCCTCTTCACTGCCTCCGCGGCTGTTTTGCACAAATGTGTGGTCTTCCTGTAATCTCTGATGAAAAGAGCTACATCCTGAAATTCTGATTGGCCTGCATTTTGGGCTACACATCTGAGCCAACTGCAGATCTATAGGTGAGGGCTTGTTTTTCTCTCTAATTGTGCAGCTCGCTGGGGCCCTCACAGCTGCAACTTGCCTTTCATCCACTTTAGTGACAGCCCAAAGAAAACACAAAACAAACCCAACCAGAGAAAAAGGCGGGGAGAGGGGAACACCAGTTGATGATCTTACAATCAGCAGGGAAAAGAATCACCTTATATAAATAAATTAGTAGCTGGGAATAGTATAGGATTTAATTAAGCCAAACATAGATCAGGTGCACCACAGTATTTATAGAGGACAGATACAATCAGAAACCCACACCCTTAGGGTTCTTCAGGCCACAAGCCTGGGCCCGAGTACATTTGCCCTGGCTGCTTGGAGGTGTTCTGTTTGAACCCTAACCTAAACACTGAGAGACAAGATGTGGGAAATCACCATGGTCAAAACCTTATTTAGCATGGTATGGAACAGTGGAGAATCTAGGTGCTTCAGCACAACCAAGCAGAAGCCATTCTTGCCCCAAGCCCAGTGGATAAGAAACCTAGAAGCATCTCCTCTATACTATGAAAAACAGTTGTTGTTGTTGGCCTTTTCTGTCACTTACCTCCGAGAGCCCCCCAGAACTAAAGTCCTGTGTGCATTGGACCAAGAAATAGGAAAGACCGTTTGAAGAGTCAACAACAGAGGTACTGGAGGGAGGACCGAGTATTACATGGGAAAACCTCTTGGGGTTTCATTTTTGCTTGAGAGCTTATTGATATTGATGATACAGGGAGGTTGCTGGTGGGAGACTTGCAGGATAGTAACTGGCTGGGTTTCTTTAACTCACAAGTTAAACATGCTCAAAAAGTACAATAATACAGAAAAAGCAAAAGTTCATTTCATTGTTGACCAATCCGAATCTCTTCCCCAGAGGTAACCACAAGGGATAGTTTGAGGAATGTGTTTCCAGGCCTTGTTTTATACCTTTACAAACATGTATGTTCATGTTGAGTTATGTGGTTTGCTTAAGCTGGGGTTTAGTTTGGTTCGTTTGGTTTTGTGTAACTGGTAGCATAGTGTTTGCTTACTGAATTGGATGACTTGCTTCTTTTCATTTGACATCTTGAGGGTAATTCTGTACATACCAATACTTCAACCCCATCCTTTTTATCTGCAGCATAGCACTCCATATTGTGTTGATATGCCTCAATACTCAATGGAGAGTGTATTAACTGCTCCATTGCTGATGAGCATTCAGATTTCTAGTTTTTTTTGCTATTATAAACAATACTGCAAAGAATATTCTTGAAATTGCTTCTTTGGGCTCATGTTTTTCAAAGGATACAATTTCTGGGTCAAACACATACCTGTTTTCATTTTTGTAGGTGTTGTAAATGGCTGAGGTTTGTCATTTAAAATGAACCTGTCCTTGCTTGAGAGCATAGTGGAAGCTAATGGACATCCTGCCACATTTGCTCAACCCTTGGGGTCTCTATGCCTATCTCTCTTTCTCTACAGTGGGTGTGCTGCTCACAAGAGAAGACCTTGGGCACTTTTAGCTGAAGGGAATTTTAAACTCAGGAAGTGTTTCTTCAGGACTTTTTAACTGCCAACTTATGGGGAATATGGGCCTGGCTCTAAGTGGCAGCTCCCCAGAGCTGTGGCGGCTGTGTCACTGGAGTTAATTCTATCCCTGGGTTCAGCAAGCAAAGTCCTGTTCTCCATGATTAATGAGTTCCACTTGGTTTCTTCAAAGAGTGACTGTGCTGTGCCTTGCTGTTATTTATTTATGTTTTCTACTAAAAAATTTATGTAAAAAACATCCTTTAAGGTCAGTATGCAGCACTGTGCTGCAGACTAAACTATTCCAGCAGCCAGAGGTAAACCTACACACCAAGAAAAAGTCTCAAATTTGGGAGGCCTTGGACCCCAGGCCCCCACTCTGGCCCTGAGAGGAGCAGAACCTGTGGACTTTCTTCTGAGGAAGTTCAAGGCTGCAATACCAAAAGAAAAGGCACTAGGAGTGAGGTGGTTTTCCAGTTGGATGTTTATAGGCATAGGCAAAGCTACTAGCCCCACAGGGGCCAGTAGTAAGGAATGGCAGGTGGAGGAGAAGCCCAGAGATCTGTCAGTCTAAACACCATTTCTAGCAAAAGCACTGCCCCCATTTCTACGGTGTGCTGAGAAAAAGGGATCATAATAAAGTGACTTTGACTTTGAGTGTCTATGGCTATGTATGTCCTGTGTGGTCTTTCTCTGACCTGCCCATTGACTCCTGGGCATGGAGCAAGAGTATTTAACTCAGGAAAGAAAGCAGCATGAGTTGAGATCTGGATAAACTAGAATACATCTCTCTCTCTCTCTCTCTCTCTCTCACACACACACACACACAGTGCCTTGTTTTGTCTTCTCCGTGTAATTGTGCAAAATTAAATCCTTTAAATATCATGAACATTCCCCAAAACAAAGGCTCTGCTCCAAAATCAGAATGATAATAGATCATGCCATGGCTTTCAGCAATACCAGTTTCTTTCTCCAGCAGCAGGACTCATTAACAGGATGCCTGAACTGGACTTCCCTGCAACTTATTAAAGAGCAGCCAGCTCCAGTAATTATGGGCATGCAGAGAGCCTCGAGCCAGAGGTGGCCTTGACCAAAGTCTCAGTCTCCAAAGCCTGCTAGTTATTGAAGCTTCATCTAAGCATAAAGAACCTTTTTGTCTCTTTGTGTTTTCTTACTGCCACCCAGGACCTGTGAGAAGGGGCATGAGGATTTCAGGGGCTGGTGTGGGCCTTCCAATGGCTTCTCTAGGACAGCCCCCCAGCTGGCATTGAGAGTGAGATGGTAGTCATTAGGACCTAGATGGGAGCAACATGGGTATGTCAAAGGAGCCCCAGAGATGCCTTATCTGCCTTGGCCAACTGTGATTCAAGAGTGAGTCCCATAGTAATATTTACAGGTGCCCCGGACCCACAAGCCCATCACTGCTTCCTGGCTCTGCACCTCCTGCTAGGGCCATGGTCTCCACTTCTTTCTCTGTAGGAGGAATTGGTCACCACCCATCTGCCTTTGTGCCAGGTGTAGTTTGTCTCCAACCTCCAA